CCCTCCCTGGTGCCCGAGTCGTCCGAGTCCTCCCGCTTCTGTCCCTCGCCTTTCTTTGAGTCGGAGGAATCCAGCCACTGATCGGGCCTGTGGCCGCCCCAGGCTTGGGGGACCTGCAGACCCCGTCTCACCCTCGGGAGCGGCGTGCGGGCTGCTGGGTCACCCGCGGCGCGGCGCAGGCCCCTGACACTTGGAGGTCCGCGGCTCTCCGGTGACTGCGACCCCCCGCCGCCCCCACCAGCTTGGGGCAGGGGGTCCGAGAGGCGCGATCGAGACCGGAGGAGCCGCGAGGGTGCAGTGAGGGGGGCGCCTGGGACAGCTCCAGCTGCTCGCCGAGTCCTCTCCAGGCTGCAGGGACGACCGAGGACGTCCTGCCTGGGCCTGGCTCTCGCTCTGCCTCAGCCTCGGCTTGGGGAGAGTCGGAGGCCAGCCTGGCGCTGTGGTTTGCTCTGTCCTCCGATGCTGCAGGCGCAGCCCTGCCTCTGCGAGTCCCCGGGGACGAGCCGGACTTTGGTTCGGATGCGCCACCCCCTGGCTGTCCACAAGATGGCCTCAAATACTAGCGACCTCGTTGGGAGCGCTCTTGCGCTGGCAAGAGGGCGGGTGGGAGGTCAGACTGCTGCTTGCACTCAGCCCAGATCGACCGACCGAGAAAGGGCGGCGTGTGCACTGGTGGAGCTCTCTGGCTTCGCTGACCACTCCCTCCCCGCCCCTCAGGGTGGCCTCTCGCCCCCTCTTCCCCCACCCCCACCCCCACCCCGTGGGCAGAGTGGGGGGGGGGGGGGGAGGGGTCCACCCGGGTACATTGGCTCTGTGCTTGCACCAAATGGCTAAATAAAAGGGTTGTTGAGTTTTGAGATTCCCAGATCATTGTCAACCCTCACCCACCCTGGAGTCCCTTTCTCGTCCTCACTCCCAGCCCAGAGCACTTGCCGCTGGTGTGTGGGGAGTTGTGTTAGCTCATGCATTCAACTAACACTTGCAGAGAGCTTAGTATATGCCAGGGACTGTGCGGAGGAGGGGCCAGGGTCGCAGAGATAAAACAACTCTTGCAGTTAGGGGTGGGAGTGGGCAGGTGAGAAAGATACAAAGCGTCAGACGGTCACTGCACCGTGTGACAGGTGCTATGCCAGAGGTGTGCACTTTCAAGTTTGTTCTGGGAGCCTTCCACCCTGGCCGGAAGGAGTTCACTGTTTCCCTACAGGGGGTACACATGGGGGCGGGGTCTTGGCCTGATTGCTGCAGGTGCTGAGCTGGGTGGGGTGCTGTGGAGCTGTGCTGAGTCAGGCTGCCCAGCACCTTCTCTGGACAGTCGTCGGGCTGGGGAGGAAGAAGTCTAATCTTGGCATGAGGGAGGCCGGTGTGGAGTCTGAGGCTCCATATCACATGCTACCCCTTCCTGAACTCTGTTGCCCCAGCCTGGAAGCCTTCCATCCTGTCCTGTCCCAGCCCTGTGCATAAGTTCCTCCCTCCACTCCCCACCCTCCTTGGGGGACAGATCGGGATGTCACTGGCTGAGCGGGATGGGACGACAGCTGCCTGGCCTCGGGAACTCAAGCTGGGCAGTGAGGAGCTGAGCGGAGGCTAATTTTACTCGCTCGGAGCAGGGAGAGCAATCCTCCCACCCACCCCCGCCCCTGCCCTGCCCCAGGCTGGCTCAGCAGAGCAAGCCCAGCCGCCCAGTCCCCAAGGCGGGGGCATAGGGGACGCAGGGTAGAGAGGGCAGTGGGGTGGGGGAGCCGGGGAGAGCGAGGTTGCCGGGAAAGCCATGGAGCCGTCCTCGCCCCAGGACGAGGGCCTGAAGAAGAAACAGCCCAAGAAGCCTGTTCCAGAGATTCTGCCAAGGCCGCCCCGGGCTTTGTTCTGCCTGACCCTCCAGAACCCCCTGAGGAAGGCCTGCATCAGCATCGTGGAATGGAAGTATCCTTCAGGGTCCAGGCAGGGAGGTGGGGGAAGGACTCGGGGTAGGGGTGTGGGGAAGGGGGCTGTCACAAAGCCAAACTTTGAGGGCCAGGGAGGCAAAGGACTTGACGATGGGGCGAACTTTGGGGAAGAAAGTCCTCAACTAAGTGGGGGAAGGAGGAGGAAGAGGAGGAAGAGGAGGAGGAATCGGTGGGGCTTCCTGGGGTCCGAGTGAGTGACCTACGTCCTGAGTGACAGCCAGAGATGCCTACTGACCCTCCATGGAAGGGGCCTGTTTCACGGGGACTGTTCCCACGTGTGCCCAAATCCGCATGATCGTGGGCTACCACTCAGGTTTTTGAGGCAGCAGTCTCATTTTGGAGTAGGACAGAGGCAAGAAAAAATGAAGTGGTGGCGTCTTGGAGAAAATCCTCCCCCTCGATGGGCGGGGTGAAAGTGAAAGGGACAGCCTTCCGCAGGGCCAGACCCAGCTGGGGGAGAAATGGCTGGAAGGCCTGTCCCCAGGGTGGGTCAGGGACTTCAAAACCCTTTCCTTGTTTGCATTAGCTCTGGGAGAAAGAATGATGAAAATATCTTGGTTATTTGGGGAAGGGAGGAAGGAGCTACAGAGGAGGGGAGGCCTGTGCCCTGCGGTTCTGAGAGAGAAGGTCAGGAATATTTGAAATATTTCTGAAGGGTTCTGGAAGACTGGGCTCCCACCAGCTGTTCCCTAGAAGAAAGGAGGCTGAGGGATAACTGAAAGGACAGGAGAAACATGGACCGAGTGGAGACAGTTGGGGTGAGGGTCAGCCTGCTCCCCACAGCTGCATGCAGCCAGGCCACATGCAACCCTCTGGGGCCTCTCCTTCCCTGTCTGTCTCCTGTCTGATCAGGTTCACCCAGGGGCTTCTCCCTGGCCTCCCTCCTTTGCTCCCCTCCTAGGCCTCTGTGCCTGCAGCCCTCCTCTCTTCTCAAATACTGGAGGTTGCTGGGAAAGGAACGAGGATTTTTCAATGAAGCCCATCTACATAGTATGTCTCCTCACCTCCCTCCCACAGAGCACACAGACAACTCACCCTCTCTCTCCCTTTCTCTCCCTAACTCCCTCCACACTGGCTTTCTAATGGGTCAGCAAGTCAAGGAAGACACGGGCCTGGGGTGCCCTCTGGAAATGGCTGTGGGCTGGGGTGGTGTCTGGGAGGGGTGACATGTGAGGGGTGTGAGCATGTGCCCTCCAGCATGCATGCACAGCTCTGGAAATTCGGGTTTCATCTCCGCATCTTCCCTCGTACCCAGTCCTGCCCTGTGGGTACTGAGCCCTAACCTGCATCAGTACCTCATGCCCCTCGGCATTTCTCTGGGTGAGCCCCTGCAGGTTGTCTAACCAGAATCTCAGAAAGCCATGGCTCCTTGGGGGCAGGTAGGGGAGAGGGCTAGACAGGCACTTAGAGTGGAGCAGTGTTAAGATCCCCTGGCCTGTAAAGCTGAGTAGCCCTCAGCCAGTACCAGACCTTTGCTGTCCCAAAGAGTCCAAGCAGAAGTTACCTGTTCCCAAGGAGAGGGAGTCAGGTCCCCAGCTGGGAACCTGGCCCCTTCTACACCCTGCAGGAGATCAGGGAAGGAGCAGCGTGGGCAGAGTCCCCAAGAGCCTGCCCATCAGCCTGGCAGAATAGCCACAGTCCAGACTGATCCTTGGTGCTCTCTTCCCCTTAACCCTGCAAATCCCACGCCTCACTCAGGGCCTCTCCTTAACCCTGGCACCAGACCCTTCGAGACGATCATCTTGCTCACCATCTTTGCCAACTGTGTGGCCCTGGCCATGTACCTGCCCATGCCTGAAGATGACAACAACTCTCTGAACCTCGGTCTGGTAAGATAGGTGACCCCCTCCCCTTCCCTCAGGCCTGCAGATCCAGGCTGGGGGAGCCCCCACGCCCGGCCTGGTGGACTCTGTTCTGGTGGATGGTGCTGTTGATTCATCTCCCTGAGGATGCAGACGCTGCCTTCCCAACCACCTGCAGGGCTGACTGCATGGCTCAGCAGCTTTTCAGGGTAAAACTGAGTATTCCAGACTCTGTAATATTATTGCCAGCACTGAGCTAGTACAGCCAGCCCCTCAGATTCAACCAACAGATCGAAAATATTGGGGGGAAAAAACAATAAAAAATACACAAATTAAAAATATATAGTATAACAACTATTTACGTAGCACTTACATTGTATTTGGTATTATGAGTAATCTAGAGATGACTTGAAGTATATGGGAGGATGTGCATAGGTTACACGCAAATACCACACTATTTTATATCAGGGACTTGACCATCCTCAGATTTTGGTATCTGAGGGGGGTCTTGGAACCAATCCCCTGTGGATACCGAGAGATGACTATGCCCATTGTGCCCAGGCACTGTGCTAAGCACCGTACAAGAGTAAACTCATTTAATCCTCACTACAACCCCGTAAAGTAGCCCTATTTGACAGAGGTGGAAACTGAGGCTTAGTAAACTCAGCTAGCGAACCACAGAGGTTGAATGCTTATTTCCTTCCCTGGATGTAATCCATAGAAACTTGCTTCTATTGAGTTTGCCTTCATGGGGGAGTTTGGTCTAGGAATCTGAAGATGTGTTTTAGAGTTCTATAATACCACTTTCTCCTCACCCTTTCGCCAATAGCACATGCATGGAGCCATAAAATGCCAGAGCTGGAAGGGATTTTCGAGAATTACATTGTCCTACCTCCTCCCCGCCTCACTCTGTTTCATGAATAAGAAGAAAACTGAGGTCTGGAGAGGTGAAGAGACTTAACCAGTAGTTAGTTAATAATAAAAGTTGTTAACACTTATTAAGAGCTTATTAGACGGCAGGCTCTATGCTAAATACTTTACATTATTATATTATTTAATCCCCAAAGCTATCCCTGTGGGGTAAATAACATTATTAGATCCACCTAAAAGACAAGGAAACTGAGGCTCAGAGAGTTTAGGTACCTTGCCCATAATCCCCCACCTCCAAGTCTTCTGTCAGGGCCTCACACTCATGTCCCTTTGACTTTAGAACCTGCCACGGTGGTGACAGCATGAGGACTTCTAGAAACAGTGGCCTCAGACATTTACTGCCCAGGCTCCCTAGGGGACAGGACAGTTGACCCACCATTTCAACAGGGCTTTTTCCTGCATGTAAACCGCAGGGGTGGGGAGGAAAGAGGCCTATTAGCGTGCATCCAGGGCCGGGAAGAAGGGTATTTATCGCTGCCTCTCCTTCATGCTGGTTTCCATGGGAATCTATCTTGAGTTGGTGAGAAGCTGGGATTCTAAATGTGTGCTTGCTAGGAATGGAAGAAACTCTGAGCTCCTGAGCGTGGCAGGAGGGTGGGATTAAAAGAGGGCAGGCCGGTGTAACTCATGCCGGCAGGGAGTTTGGTTCATGGGGCCTGGGCCTTCTGCACAGCAGCCTTAGTTCTCTGTGTCCCTGAACATAGGGAGGGCTCTGGGTCCACCCTACTCTTCAGGATTTCACATTTTAGGGCCTCAGTTCTGTTTGCACTCCTTAAGAAGTTGACTACTTCTGCAAGAAACTCTGCCCTCCTTGGAGGTTGTTAAATTATACTTTAGTGGTTAATCGTCTTCCACCTTGAAACTAAATGGCTGCCTTAAATTTTTCAA